AGAGAGAGAGAGAGAGAGAGAGAGAGAGAGAGAGAGAGAGAGAGAGAGAGAAACAGCAAAGCAATGCTGTCTCGTCTCGAAGCTCAGGAATCATTCATGCCACGTTGAAGATGCACTCATTATTCCCGCCTCTGAGTGTGTGCATATTTGTGTGTGTGCGCTCGTGTGTCTGTCTGTGTGGTGTGACCTGAGCTATGTACTATCGATTTTTCCCCTCAGATTAGTGGCCAACGATGTCCTCTCTTAGCGGCTGTTTCTTCTACCCCTCCCCCACTCCCCGCCCCTTCATCCCTGTTACTTTTGACACGGTGGACAGATAGGAAAAACGGCCATATGATATGGTGGGTGGTTGGAGGGTGTCGACGATGCTATGTGACCTATCGCCCTGTCTTCCCTTCTGCCATCTGGTGGGTGGTTGGCGGGCGCTCTCGTGTGGTTTCTCCATTTTTCTCCCATCAAACGGCGATCGTCCTTATCTCCCCACTCTCCTCATTTTCTATGTATATCGTATGGTACTCGATAGTAACACCTCTAATCCTCGCCCGGCACGTATATGACCTAATTGTGTTGCAAGTGCCGTGAAAAACTCGTACCTGTGGGTGGTTGGCGGGTGCTCTGGTGGGGTTTGCTCTAGACGGTCATTATGATCGCCTAGGGTTTGCTCCATCTTTCTCCTATGAAACAGCCATCGTCTTTATGTCCCCACTCTCCTTATTTTCTATGTATGGTACTCGCAAGTAACACCTCCAATCTTCGCCCCGCACGTATATGACCCAATTGTGGTGCAAGTGACATGAAACTCGTACTCGAATTTTTGAAAATGTTACGATGGTCGAAACGTGGCAGTGGGTGGTTGGCGGGTGCTCTGGTGTGGTTTGCTCCTTCTTTCCTATCAAACATCTATCGTTTTTCTCGCCCCTCCTTCTTTTTGTGTTTGTTACTCTCTTGTAACGGCTCTAATCTTCGGCACTTATATGACCTTATTGTGTTGCGAGTGCCGTAAAACACTTACTAAAACTAAACTAAGAAACGTGGCTGATATTGCGCTGTGGTATGACATGGGGCTAACACCGTCACCAAACAGGCTATTACGAACCGACTCGGTAAAATACACCTCAGCAGCAATAATAACTTGCAAAAGTTGGAAGGGCGTCCGTCCCTTGTGTGTCTTCCTTCGTTATTTTCTTACTCTTTTTTATGCCCGACTTCTCGTTTCGTATCGAGCCATTACGTGGGTGGTTGGAGGACGTTACTGGTTTGCCTTACTTCTTTTTGTTTCTGTCTGTCTTGCGTTCCCACTCCAATACACAGTGGGTGGTTGGCGAATGTTCTGGTGTGGTTTGCTCCTTCTTTCCTATCAAACATCTATCATCCTTATCTCCCCTTTTTCTTTTTTTATGTTTGTTACTCTCTTGTAACACCTCTAATCTTCTGGCGCTCCTATGACTTTATGCAGTTGCGAGCGCCGTAAAACCTCTACTAAAACTAAAAACTAAGTTAGTGGTTGGCAGGTGCTCTGGTGTGGTTGGCTCCTTCTTTCCTATCACACATCTATCAACCTTATCTCTCCTCCTTTTTGTTTGTTACTCTCTTGTAACACCTCTAATCTTGGGCACTTATATGACCTTATTGTGTTGCAAGTGCCGTAAAACACTTACTGCTAACTACCACTACACAATGTGTCCGTTATCAAGTCGATGTGCTTCCCAGGACTCCCCCGCCCCCCCCCCCCCCCCATTTTTGGAAAAAAGATGGAGCTATGACCCTTACTGTGTTCGTGTGCACACTCCAGACAAACGTAACAAATCAGCTACTGACAAAGTTAACACTTTTTGTAGCTCCTTACCGGACCTCCTTTATGTGGGGGCATGCCGCTTATTTTATTATTATGACCAGTGGGTGGTGGTGGTGTCGGTCATGATGGTGATCGTCGTTTTTGTCGTCAGGTTCATATACCGTTCATATCTTTTTAAATGACGTAAACAGTTTCGGAAACTAAACTAAGACCAAGCGGCCGGCGGGAATGGTGATGCTGGTTATGATGATGGTCGTGGTATTTTGTCGTCAGGTTCATATACCGTGCCGGCTAGCATAACCGTTATTTTGTTTTCTTCAGTGGCAGGATCCTCCTTCCTTCACAGGGAATACTTTTCTCGTCTCTCGCAGGTGCCGTTTCGCACCTTTTTCTTTCTGTTCAGTCCCCCCCCCCCCCCCCCCCAGACGGTCATTTTGTAGACAATATTATTTTACTCCTCGGCAAAAGTTGTCCCGTCTTTCCTATCAAACACCTACCGTCCTTTTGTCTCTCCTTTTCTTTGTATCTTACTATCGAATAATGCTGATAATCTTTGTCACTTAAATAACCATTTTGTGCTGCAAGTGTCGTTATTAAACTCTTAGGCTAGTAACACGAGAACGATTTCACATACCATACAATCAAGTTGCGTCTGTCTAACTGAGTAGGGGTGATTTCTGCTGCTTTTTCTTTCCTCATCCTTACTATCGTCATTTTGTCTCTACTTCTTTTGTGTTTGTCACCATCTTGTGAACTGCTATTTCCGGGATGCCTTTTGATAGTCCAAGCAGACTTTGTGCTGTTGAGGCTAGAGAGGTGAGCAGAGAAAACCTGATTCCCTGTAAAGACTTCTCTGTGTTGACGTCCATCCCTTGGCGCTCATATGACCTTATGCAGTACTGTTGCGAGCGCTGTAAAACCTTACTAAAACAAAACATAAATGATTTCTGTAGCGCTTTTCTCCCATAAGTCAGAGTGTTTTTGTCGAGGATTATGGACAGGTCCGAAATATGGAAAAGTAACAACTGTTCTGATATTGTTGCATTAACTATATTCATTTCAGGTCTGTTGTGTCGACGTATCCACACGTTGGTGTTCGGCTGGTGCTCTGTTGTGCTTTGCTAACTCTTTTCTATCAAACATCTGTTGTCCTTATTCCTCTCCTCCATTTCTTTGTATGTTACTCACAAGGCAACACAGCTAATCTTCGGCACTTATATGACCTAGTTATTTGTGTTACAAGTGCCGTGAAACTCTTACCAAAATATAAAACAAAAAGAAAAGCAGATGTACCACTGATTCTCGATGTTAATGTTTTCACTTCTCCTGTAATAATTGTATTTTTTCCCCCCAAGTTTTCTTTTTTTTTTAAAACAGGAAGACAGTGTGGGTTCTGCAGAAAACAAGTCAGTCGGAGCAAGCGATAATTCCTGCTGCTCTTTATATTCATTAATTTCTCGTCCATTGCTTTAATACCACTGTGTTTGTATTTGCAGACGCTCTCGACGAGGAAGGAGAGGAAAAGAGAGGTGTGTCTTTCTAATATTTTCCTCCACACGTGTATACAGGCTTTAAAAAAAAATTCTCTCTAATTTTTGTTTTGCTTTATTTTTTTGTCTGGTGGTTATTTCCTGTGCCACGCATAGGTCTGCCTTTTGTGTTGGTTTGTGACGCAACGTTTTGCTCCGGTCTAGTGTCTCGGTTTGGTCTGAAGATCTTAACACCCCCCCCCCCCCCCCCCCCCATTCTTCTCTCTCTCTCTCTTGTGACGTGGCAGTGGGACGGGGAGGAGGGGGAGGGGTACTTTAAGCTCTTTATTTACGCACCTAGAAAACACATGCTTTCAGTCTTCACAAACTGTAACTCACCAACACGCCCACGCATACACACGTTCGTGCTCACACGAATGACACACGTACATGTTCATAATTGTCATGTTCACACACGTGCTCTGCTCAAACGAAGTCACCTATACAGTCTCAGGTATGAACGGACTTACAAAAACACACACGCACATGCACAAACTCTTTCGTGCTCAAATGCACTCGTGGTAACTGCTGTGCTTGAAACTTGAAGCAAGCTCCACTTTCGGTAACTTACTCTCCCCCCCCCCACCCTCTTTCTCTCTCTCTCTCTCTCTCTCTCTCTCTCTCTCTCTCTCTCTCTCTCTCTCTCTCTCTCTCTCTCTCTCTCTCTCTTCATCTCTCTCTTGTGCACGTACACCCCCCTCTACACATGATGGCATGCATAGGAATACGCACCCCTGCACGCCCGCGCCGCGCGCACACACACACTCACACACACACACACACACACGCGCGCGCACGCGCATGCACACAAACTTGCACACACACACACACACACACACACACACACACACACACACACACACACTCACAAACACATAAACGCACACAAACAAATACACATAAACGCACACACAAACTTCTTTAAAGTTTCCTTGACAGCGATGTCCCTGCTAGTGAAAACAGCCGGGCTCTCCCAGACTCAAGTGGAAGAAACAGTTCTTTTTTCTAACTCTGAATTCGTGAAGTATGCAATTTGGGCGAGAGCTATTGCGATGGTCAGCGGTCAGATCTGTCGGGGTGGAGGGGGGGGGGGGGTGCCCATCGATAGTGGGGGAGGTGGTAGTTCCCAAGACCCGTCTCCACTTGACCCGTAGCCTTATGCACACTGCCAATCGGATTCATTTGACCGAATCGGACGCAGCCAGATTTTCCTTCATGCAAAAGCTACCATTTTGGCACAATACGACCTATTCAACTCACGACGTTGCAAAATAAAAACCTTGATTTTTGAAGATCACAGTCGAATTAAACCAAATGCAGTCGTACTGTGCCAACATGGTAGCCATGAAGGGAAGTTTGGATTGCTGGAGACACAACTCCATCAAATGAATTGAATCGTTGGTGTGCACTGTGGATAAATAACGTCTAGCTGTAGACAGTTCCTTCCCACAGGAGAACCGAGGGCCGTTGCAAAACGTTGCTCAATATTGGTGTGTCTGTATAATATTATGTTTGTGTATCTGCCTGTCATTTCATGTGTACCTCCTAGAGATGGCTGCTCTAGTCTGCAAACTCTGTTTTTGCACACATTCAGTGGGGTCATGTAAACAGACATTGATAAATTCACTGACCTGACACCCCCCCCCCCAAAAAAAAAATAAAAAAATAAATAAAAAAAATAAAATGAGAATAAATAAATAAAATAAATTATAAAAAAAAGCACCCCCCCAAAAAACAACAACAGATTGAACAGATCTTGGGTCTTGGCCTTTCTTGTACTAGTTTTGTCTTACTATTTGTGTCTCAGAGAATGTCAAAACGCTTTACGCCAAGGGAAGATACAACCTAGATAAAATATATGGATACTTAGGCTGTATTTCCTCTTGGCTATTAAGCAGTGTGTCGACACAATGTGAACCCCTGAATGAGCAGTATAATGAAGAACTGTTGCTCATCAAAAACATCTAGTGTTTTTTGTTGTCACATGATCCTTGTCAGTATCCTGTGGCTGTGCAGGGGAAGCCTCAGTTCAACATTATGCAGACTCCGGGCAAGAGCAGTCATCAGTTCTAATGTAACAGTGTGGGTGGATGTTTCTCTATATCTCAAAAAGGACAAAGATGCAAACTGTGGCTGCTATGTGTTTTATTGTGTTGTATGTTTATTATGGCTTGCTTTGTGTTGTAGAGTAGTGTAGTCTTATTTCTCTTGTTTGTTTGTTTGTTTTCTTTTCTTTTTTAATCTTCTTTTATTTCGTTTCTGTTTTGTGCTCTCACTTCTGGGTTTTGCAGGTGGCTTTGAACTCATCATTCACCATTTCCCCCCAGTAACTTTTTAATTTTACTTATGCTTTCTGCTTTAGCCACAGATCTCTCTCAATTCATTGTTGTCTGTACATGAGTGCATTCATTTTTATTTATTTTAAAGACTTTTATTTCATGTTTTATTTTCACTACCTCATTTTTCACTTTTGTATTTTATTTTGGGCATCATTTTAAACTATACTCAAGAGTGTGCACTGTTAGATTTATATTGCTGTTTGTGTCACGTAGTATTCTTTCAGTTCGCTCCCAAATAATTTGTTCCAGCAAGGTAACAGAAGTTCTGAGCCTGTGCCATGTGTTTTTGTGAATACATGTATCTCACACTCTTACAATTTTCATAACAAGTGTCTTCTTGGAACTGGAAAATATATTGTTGAAGACACTGTATGTTGTATCAGTGGTATGTTTCAAGGGAAGTTATCCTAAGACTTGGGACTTTAGTAACTTTTGCATTGCAGAGAGTGTGCTTTGAGTCACTTGTATTTTCTGGGAAAGGCTTAATGTATGATGCTTTTGGTGTTTACATGTGTTCATCAGTTTTAAATATTTCACCTTTGGTTGAGAGTTTTGCATGGCTTAATGCTGGCTTCACTTTTATCCTACTCAGGAAGCAAAAGATATTGTTTTCTGCAGGTCTTGGAAATTAGGTGCTTAGTAACATGTATGTTATTTTTCTCCTGTTCGCATGCGTGATGCCCATGACTCTGAAGTAACGTTATTGTAATCTTTGAGGTACTGCATGTTCACCTTTATGCACTTTAGCAGCAGACATGCGGGTAGATTTTATTATTTGAATGGGATGGCTGTTTTGTGTCAGTCAATGTAAAACAATAAGCTGTTTTGTGTTTTGGGAGCTGGTAATTACTTTGCTTGGGCAAACATGACAGCAGTAAGTTTATCTCATCTTCTTTACTGCTCAGGCCCAGTGGGTAGTTGGCGGGTGCTCTAGTGTGGATTGCTACTTCGGTCCTACCAAATAACCATCGTCTGTGTCTAATTTTCTTTTCTTTTTGTGTTACTCTCAAGTAAAACATCTATTCTTTGTTACCTATATGAAGTATATGATGACCTATTTGTGTTGCAAGTGCTGTAAAACTTGTACTAAAACTAAAAACTAATTTTAGGCCACTGCAAGGCTTCATGTTAGTGGCCAGAACTTAAGATAACACTTGTGGGTTTTTTGTTTTGTTTTTGTTTTAATTCTTATGTTTTATGATGTGTAGTTCTGTTTGGACCAGTGATTGTTGCCACAGCTGTAGGGAATCTCCTAAGAAATCACATTGTCAATGTGTTTGTGGTGATATCTTTGAGAAAAACATCTGGTGAACTGTACACTGAGGGTGGTATGGGAGGGGGGGGGTGCCCTGGTCTGTCTTGCTTCTTTACCATCACACAGTTGTGTCTATCTTTCTTTCCCTAAATGGCTTGTTATTGTGCCAAACAAATGTGATAT